CCGCCGACTTCTCGGGCTTCCAGTCCCACCGGCCGCCCCGCGGCGCCGCCGCCTGCGCCCTCAGCGAGGCCGACCTCATCGAGTTCCCCTGCGAGCGCTTCATGGACAGCGGCGGCGGCCGGCACGGGGACGAGCACCTGCTGCAGCGCTTCGCCGACTGAGGGCCCCGGAGGCCCGGCGGGGGAAGGCGGCCCTCGGCCTGCGGGGCCACGGTGCGGGCCCAGGGGTCGCGGCCTCTGAGGCGCTGCTTTCAGCCGCCCGTAGTGCGGGCCGGGGCTGAGGCTGCCCGTAGCACGGGGTTACCTCTGCCGGGACCTCGCCGTTTTGTCAGGAATCATCACTAACCCAAGGAAAAGCCCCGACAGGTGGTAACTGTGCCTTGCCATGAGGAGTAAGCGGCGGGAGCTACTGCCAACAGCAGCCAGTGCCGCCCTTAAGGAAATTTAGAGCTGTTAATTTAAATGTGCTCTTTTACAGGTGGTTTCCTCCGACTGCAAGTTGGGAACAAGTTACAGCGAGCGGCCTGGTCCTGTGTGAGGAGTTTTGAACAGGTCTTTCCAAGGCCCCAGCCCTTCCTAATCAAAAAATTTGGATCGAGGGCCATCTTTTAATTGAACTGTGTGCAACTGAGGGCTGGAAATGTAGGGAGTTTTGCTGAATAGTTTGAAGGCTGTGCCGTTTCAACTCAAACCGAATGTGAGGCAATTTAATGTGCACAAGTGTGCTTTTATACTTTTCTGTAAACGAGAAACAGTAATGCAGCTGGTTAGTTCTACAGGAATATATTGCTGACACCACTAAGAAAAAACTAACATATTTTTTGTAGAATGTTTACAAATGAGCTATTTTTAAACTTTTTTTGAATAAATACTGTTTGGTACTTGTACACATTAATGTGTGCTGTTGTTGCCTGGGTCCATGATGGTCAGCAGATCGCTGACCCTCACATAATTCATCTTCATTTCTAAATGGGTGGGTGCAGAGGTGAACTCTTGATGGATAAATAATCATTGGTGCCTTACTTCAGAAACAATAATAGGTGAGAATATTTCAGGAATGTGAAACAATTATCCTAACAGGCAATTCTCTCTTACCCTTAGCCTACTAAAGTTAGAAGCTTTGTGTACCTCACTGTGAAATAAGACATTTTGTGTATTAATCTAGATTATGTGTTTTGTGTAGCTGAGTGAGTAATGGTAGAGTTAAACCCTTATGCAGTAGTGTATAATGTTTGAGTTGTTTTGGTTTGTTGGTTGTTGTGGGGTTTTTTAAAATTAGGATTTTGCTTTTGGTTTCTGAGCAATGCTAATCATTTTATGGTCAGTTGCTCTCTACTTCTCAGACTTTTTCCTAAATATTTACAGAATGTGGTTCTGTTATTACAAAATGTGGTGGTTTAGTTTACATTAATAATTCTCTCTGTGTGGTCTACAAATGAGTGAGTTAAAGAGGTCCAAATCAGGATTGCACTTTAAATGCAAATGTTTTAGATGGAGTTCGGTAAATTGTTGAGACCACTGATACAACTTCTGCTCCTTTGAATTTAATGTGCAACCTCAGATGACCTCTTGTGGAACTGAATGGCTTGAAGGAAGCGTTAGTCTACTATGGAGACATTTGTCTCAATATCAAGCATTCATTGCTGACCCGAGGTGTTCGTGACTACAAGTTGTTTATTACCATAATTGCAAGTAAGCAATTTGGGCCTTAATCTTGGTCTTTTCCGTTTAGAAAGAAAAAAAAAATCAAAGTCTTGTTTCTTGGGTCAGTAGCAAGAAATCCTTTGGGATTCCATTTTGACAGGCTGTAGTTTTCATGAACATCAGGGGCCAAACTTGGTTGTCAGTACATAGATTAAAATTCACTGCAATAGACACAATGTTGTATGGAATTAAAATTGAGGGAATGCAGTATCAGACTTAATTTTTTGTTAAGAATTTTAAATTTCTGTTCTTTTGGACACCTGGGTGCTTTTGGCCATTTATGATTGTGGAATACACCACTGTTTGTTGTTAGAAATGCAGTGGGATTATTGAGTAAAGCTGTGTATCACACTAACGTTAGCTCTATCACTGGATATTCTTCCAATGGGAGATGCATAGATGCTGTACATGGTTATAATCAATTGTCAATAAATCCATTTGCTGAAAGAAAATTTGTGTCATACATTGTATCTCATAATGCATCCCTCTTCAATCATAGATTGGCTGTAGCTTCTTCATTTTATGAGCACGAGGACTGTGGACTGTCTCATCATTCTTTCATGTCTTTTCACCATAGGTAATGCTCCCTGTTTTGTTTTTAATATGCTTGGACAGTGCAAACAGTAAAATAACTGAAACAGGCGGTTAGTTTTGAAACAGGTAGACCATTGTCTCAGGATAGACTGATAAGGTGCTGTTATATCAGTGAACTATTGAACCTTTATGAGGAAAATTAAGAAATAAAGAGTGTTTGGGATCCTATTAGTAGTTTATTCTCACTGGAAGTTACAGTTCTGAGGGGTTTTCATTATTATCAGGCTAATGATATCAGCATGTCTTTTTCAGCCTATGCATGTTGTTTTAATTAAGAATTCACTGCTTCTATTTGAATTTTTGCAAACATCTGGAGAAATGCAAGAATGAAATGGAATTGGCTTTTTGTTCCAGCGTAGGAGAAGTAGATACATTGATCTGCACAACAGCAACAACAAAAAGCTGTTGACTTTTTAAAAGCCACAATTTCTGTAACTCTAGGAATACTTAAAGGCTTTGTCTGCAGATATTACTTGCAGCATTTTTGCAGGGAGGGAACTGTACTAGCAGGTGGTTGAGGAAAGAAATGTCCTTTGAATGTGACCTTTGAATGACTGAAAAACGTAAATATAACATGGCTCTGTTTTTACCAGTAGTATTTGTATGTATTTGGGTCCTTTTTAAAGTAAGCTCCTTTCTAAAGGATGACCGTAAAAACAGCCCTTTCTAAATGGATGGATCTGCCCTCAACTTGTGCTCAAAATGTTTTTCCTTCTAGCAGAAAAGGAGTTTTACTGCCATGTCTTCTCATGAAATCCATGTAGCTCAGGTAAGAGTGAACTGAGTACTGATCTGCTGAGTAATTTCTGAACATGGTATATATCAAAGATTGAAAATCGCCAAAATACTGCCCCATCAAATTAAGTGGGCTGCTGCTGTGGGGTCTGCAAGAGGTGCCAGGGCTTCCCTAGTGTCAGCACTGCCTGATTTGGCAGCCTCTGCCACCTCCTGCTCCCCCTCTTCAATTCCTGACTTCATCCAGCTGGCATGGTTGGTTGTGCAGCTGGAAGGTGAACTGTGAAACTGATCCTTCTGGAAAATAACCTTTCCTAGCACCTCCCCTCTCCCCTATTTTTCATCCAGCTCAGTTTCTTTGATTCTGCTTAACTCACACAAGTACTGGAAGTAGCAAAATATGGGTGTGTAGTTCAGAGGCAGGAAAAAACAGTCAAAGATGGGAAGCTGCTCAAACAATCTCATTTAGTCTTGACATTCAGTTTGTCCACAGTCTTAGGAAAATCTAGGCTATTCACTAAAATCCTCTGTAGGTGATACAACTTTACTGGAAATCATTAATGATCTGTAGAATTGAAAATGAACTTCTCTTTAAAATCCTGGGAATATTGACATTATAGCATGGGGCTAGAGAGAAACAATCTGAAAAGAACAGAGGTACATTGCTGTCAGTGAATATCTGCACGTGGATGAAAGCCCCTTGTTAAAAAGCACTGCTTGATTATTGGAGCCTGAGCTAGCAGTTCAATTTATTAAAATGTTGATTTCTTTATGCTGTGCTGTTTGCTTTTCACAATGCCACATTTTAAGGTATCATCAACTTTTGAACCCTTAGAAGAAGGGACTGGGTAAAGCATTCATCTTTCTTGTGCCTTCTCCTTTTTGCTCTTTCCTGAAAGAGACTTGAAAAATGAGGATTTGTGAGGAAACAAAAAGTCTGCTCCAGGATATTTATTTGTCTACTCATCAGGATATTTATTTAACTAGTAAACTACATTCTGATTGTAGGAGATGAGTCTACAAAAATAAGTGGTTTCCATGACAGTATACATATTTGTAGAAAACTCCACCAGTGAATGAGAGAAATACTACTTGATTTCCAAAAACCTGGCTGCTCCCACTAATTCATGTTTCTCTGGCCACCAAGGGTATACATATGTTGTGTGAGGTCCACGAGTGAAGCTTTGGTTTAAAGAATTGTTTTTAAAATTAATTAAATAAGACAAATTATGCATGCATAGGGATGTACTTGATTTTTTTATGTGGGCAACTTCTTTGAGACAAGTTGTTTCATAAATGTTGAATCTATAATCTGATATTTTCTTAAGTAGAAATGAGGAATAAGTATCAGGAAACAGTGTGTGCTGGATGTTAGATTTATTCTTTTTTGCTCCATGCTAAATATAGCATAGTTTTGGCAGCCTGTCCAAATACTGCTGTTGTGTTTTTCTCCATAAAAAGTTGAGTTTTCTCAAGTGCATACTTTAATTCCCATAGAAATTAAATTCCTGTAGAAAAATAGTCAATTGTCTTTAAACACAAATATTTATCTTAGTATCATTTTACATGACTTTATTTATAGAGATGCTCCTTGATAAGTCTTTTAAATAAATTGATATCTCATTTGTTTTTACAAACAAGACCATAAGAATTAGAATGAATAATGCAGTATGAATAAATAGTTGGAAGAAAGCTGTTTCAAACATAGCTGAGATATTTACAAACAAAGAGGAATCTGACACTTTAAAGAGACTTTATGAGTTTTTATGCTGTGTTGCAAAGGTGCATTTATTTATGGTTTGATAATCCATGTTTAATAATTTCTAGGAATAAACTGTTTGTTGTCTAGAAATGGGAATACCCCATCATATATAAATCTCAAAAGCTATTGAGTGTTAAAAGAAAAGTTGGGGTACTGTTAAAAGTATTTATTCTCACCAAAGTATAACCTGATTTTTCATTGCAAAGTGCATTTCAAGCTGTTGCCAAGTAAAACTAATAAATTAGCTAATAACTTGTGGTATTTCTTGACTTCAGATATAGGCCTAATCCTGTTCTTTACCAAGGTGTTTTGTTTTGTATTTTAATGTCCAGACAAACATAATCTCTAACCACTTTTTCTTTCCCCCAAAATAATTCAATTTTGTATATATTCAGTATTTCAAAATACTTTATTGCACTTCTGAGATCCATCCATGTGGAACCTGTACCAAGAGAGAATCTGAACATTAAGGCAACCTGTCAGTCAACATATGCATAGCACTTTGTAATGTGACAAGTGCTCAGAGGTTGTGAAGTGAGTGGTTTATTTTTTAGAATATTGTGAGAATGAATGCCCAACAAAACATTCATGCAGAGTCACAGCTGTGCCTCCTAGTGATGGAAAATGTCTTACTGTAATGTAGCACCTTATGCATCAGTCTGGGCTAGTGTAGTTCATTTTGCTTCCCCATGTGAGACTAGGAAAAAAAACCAAAAAAAGCAACTTGACTATAAGACAAGAATTCAAGGAAATAGAGCAGATAAGCTTTTTGTGAAGTCCTTGGCAAAAATCCTGTTAGCCAGCATTTTCCTGGTTCACTTAGCTTCTTGCATGTGCAATTTGTTTCATTGTCATTAGTTCAGTGTATGTTTGTTTACTTGTAGTAAACATTTAGAAATAATTTGAATAGCTGAAGAAAGCCTGGATACATACAATAGATAAAAATCATACACAGAAAGATAATGAGACAAGTTTTCTCATTGAGAGATTGATTTATCTCTTAAGGACAAACAGTTCAGGGATGTTGTCTTTGAAATAACCATGAATGTCAGTTTTAAGTCAAGAAAGGAATATTCTTTCCTTGGAACATGAAGAAGGTA